TCAAAATGAGATCATTCTAACAATTTTATCTGCTGGTAGAAAATTGTTTTAATTTTCATTTATTAATTTTTTAATGGACAAATACTTAAGAAGGACATCGCCAGCGGCACTAATAGTTGCAAACTACGCATCGCAATGTCGTTGGTAAAATATAATCAAAATTTATAATATACTCCTTTGGTGCTATAATTTGGTAATTTGCTAGTAAGAACTTCGTTCACCAAGCGGATCTTTAGCCATCACTAGAGACTTACAACTATACACGTCAAAACTATAACAATATACATTTGCTCTTTTTGCTGCCCTATTCTGATATTCACATCTAACCGTTTTTTTCTATTATAAACTGTTTTCCTGGATATCGGAGAAATTATTCAATCACGGGCTCATACTACTAAAAGTAATTCGTGAAAAAGTATCCATTGGCTAGAATTAGATTACATATAACGCTATTTCGACCTATTGCATTTACAACCATTGGAACACGCAGATCGTCATCTACACTACAATAAGCCCGCTCTGTAGGAAGTTGGTGATAACCACTAAAAAGCAAAACTCCCAAAAATCATTTCACTTCTTCGATGCTTAGGGCCAAATTATGTATGTTCGTTTGTTTGGCGTACATAATGCCATTTTCAGAAATCATTGTAAAAACATAGATGTCAATAATTTTTTCAAAAAAATCCGTGGAGGTCTGGTCGCTTATTATATTAACAAAGCTGTCTATTCGTTTTTGAACCCGTCACCAAACTATTTCGCAAAATTACTTTGTCACACCATTCGGCAGGGTAGAGCATACCAAATCATTCAATCTTTTAGCTCCTCTTCATCACTTACAATGTCAGGAGAGTTGACTTCTATATAATATTCAAAATCAACGCCTTCTTTCTCGATTATCCAAACAACGGCTTCCTGTATGTAAAATCATTTTGACTCTTAAATGCCTTCCGATAAGGCATACTTATGCTTATGAAAACTACCTATAAATGTTAGTAAAAGTTAATGCTTATGCACATTGTCCCCAATTTTTCAACACAATACCAAACCATACCAATTCTAAAAACTTGTGCACTCTTCACTTAACATTTTAGTCAAAATTTAGTTTTTAGTTTCACAATATATTCAAAAATATTATATTAGGTCAAGTAAAAAGTTCGTTCGGTTTTTATCTAAGAGATGGCGTTATTGTCTATAGTACTAGTGTTACGTGTCGCATCATGTCATACTATACGGCGCTGAAAACGTGTTTAATCGCGCTAAAAGATTGTCTTTGACAGTTTTTCGATTGATTTACTCATTTCGTTGTGAACGCTCGTCAAACCACCAACAAAGAGAAAATTCGCTTTATTTTACAATTTTTCTTCGATCAAAGCGAAAAGCAGCCAAAGCGACTGAAAAAATTAATTTCGTTTATGGGCCCGATACTGTAAACGAACGTGTAGCACAAAAGTGATTTGCTAAGTACCGTTCCGGTAATTTCGATGTCAAAGATGCACCACGCGTCGGGAGGCCTGTCGTCGAAAATTGCGATAAAATCATGGAAATAGTGGAAACAGACCGTCACGTGAGCACTTATTTAATTTCTGTGGAACAAAAGATAAGCCAGAAAACCGTTTGGAACCATTTGCATAACCTTGGATTCAAAAAGAAGCTCGATGTTTGGGTGCCACACGAACTAACGCAAAAAAACATGATAGACCGAATTTCCATCTGCGAATCGCTGCTGAATCGCAATAAAATCTAAAATCTACCCGTTTTTGAAGCGGATTGTGACTGGCGCTGAAAAATGGGTCACTTATGACAACATCGAGCGCAAACGGTCGTGGTCAAAGCTCGGGGAAGCGGCCCAGATGGTGGCCAAGACCTGATTGATGGCCAGGAAGGTTTTGCTGTGTGTTTGGTGGGATGGGCAAGGAATCATCTACTGCGAGCTGCTCCCCTATGGCCAAACGCTCAATTCGGCCCTCTACTGCCAACAACTGGACAGCTTGAAGGCAGCACTCATCCAGAAGAGGCCATCTTTGATCAACAGAGGCCGAATTGTGTTCCATCAGGACAACGCCAATTGAATTTGCTCAGAGGCACATGCTTTGTATCAGATGGCAAAACTTTTGTACAACGACCCCGAAGTATGGAATTTGACCCCAGATATAACCGAAAAACAATTTAATACGGAGGCGGATCAATTATGTTATTGGGATGCTTTTCGGCGGCTGGAGTAGGGCCGATTTATTATAATTAATTTATTATATATTAAAATGTGTTCAACAGATTGTCTCAACATCCTTAATACTGTAATGTTGCCCTATGCGGAGGAGCACATGCCACTAAAATGGAAGTTCATACATGACAACGACCCGAAAAATGCTTCGAAACTTGCAAAATCGTACTTTTAGCGCAATATGTTGAAAATCGCCGGTAAAGATTTGTAACTACATAGTGAACAAAAGTGCTTTTCAAATGTTACTAAGCATGGTGGCTACACATTTGGAAAAATGGAGCATACCGGCACGACTGCAGTTGGTGGCCACGGTAAGATTTTTAGCCGAAGGTGCTTTCCTTATATTTCAATGGATTTGTTTATATTAGGTTTGTATACTGAGTGATTGCTGTGCCATTATCTATCTTGTGACGCCACATATACGCTGTGAATTAAAAAAGCAGCCAAAAATTACTCAAAAAAGTTCAGGTACACCTTCAATCAGCGTGTTATGTTGTGCTAGATTTTGTTGCGTTTGACTATTTTTTTTTAATAATCTGTGGAAGCCGAACAGAGAACTACACATAATTAAGTGTAACAGCGTAAAAGTGTTAAAGCTTAGTGTAATTAGTTGCTGAAATAAACAAAATGTGCAGCGGTTTACAAATTTCGCTCGAAGTAAGAAAATTAATATTAAAATTATATTTGGAAAATAAAACTTTACATGAAATTTTCAACATAGTAGGGAAACGCCATTTAAGTGTTTATAACATTATAAAATCAAATAAAAATAACGGAGATCTAAATAAAAAACTCAGGTCGGGCAGACCTAAAGCTTTGACGCCCTACGAAGAACGCACTGCCATCGTTGCAGTTAAACGAAATCCGCGTATTTCAGCAGTAAAAATCACGAATAATATAAACGTCGAATTTCAAAAAAATGTAAATCCTCAAACTGTGAGGAATGTGCTGCACAAAGCTGGTTATTACGGACGAACTGCGCGACGTAACCATTCATATAAAAAAAGCAAATAAGAAAAAACGTTTAAAATTTTCTAAAGAGTATCTTGATATGCCAGATTGGAGATGCAGAGATGCAAGAAAATAACTTGATACATACTGGCGTGGGTAATTTGAAGTTTATTACAGATAAAATGGACAAATATATATATCTGAATATTCTGAAGGAAAATTTGCGTCCAAGCGTGCAAAAACTGGGTCTCGACAGCAGCCGATTTCTTTTTCAACAAGATAACGACCCAAACGTCGTGGTTGATTGAACGGCCTTGCTCTTCTCAATATCCATACAGATATAGATATTTCAAGTGAAGAAATTTTGAAGATCATAGCTTCACAGCCCAGAAAACTGGATACCGTTTTCTAAGCAGTTTTTACATTTGCGAAACATTTTATAGTTGAAAAGTAAATATAATTTAATGAATAATTGACGTAGTGCATTATATTAAACAATAAAATATACACATTGGCAGCTGTTACTCATTTCTGTTTAACATTTTTTGCTAATAAACGAAAATGTGTCCTTCGATCTTTATTTCATCAACATCTAACTGTAAGATACACAGGCCAAGAAAAAACAATTTAGGACCTACAGTTTATATTTAAAATTATATATAGCATAAAATATGTATATGTATATTACGGTGTCCGTTATTTCCCAAGTTTAGTTACCTGTTACCTACGTATACCTTTTAAAGGAATTCCATTAAGACCCCTTTTATGGCGCGAAAATTGTATATTAAAATTTTTCATTTTATCAAAATTGTAGGTTTACTTTCTTTAAGCAAAATAAAAAAAACATCCCATGTTATATACATGGGAGAATAAATAAATTGTCTGGCGATTTCTACCGTACAAAACAAAAATTGACAACGAGTTGTGTTTACAATGGAATTAAGGCTAAGGAATCGTTAAAAATATTGTTAAAGTATTTCGAGGAATCTACCTTATCACGAACACAAGTATTTGAGTGGCACAAAACATTCGGTGAAATCATTGAAAACTTGACTCATGTTAGTGGTCCATCAATCTCTGTTAATGATTATAACTTTTTCGATGAAATAGTACTTGAAAATCTTTGTGTTGTCATCAGAGAGTTTATTTCCACATCTCTTAAGGATCGAGATGTATGCGGCGTGTCAATGCTCAAAACTAAACGGCATAAATCTTTTGCAAAAATTACGTCGAGTAGAGGTTGAAAAAAGATGCTTGACAAAGTAGCTGAGGAGCCTATGTTCATCAAACGTACCATTACTGGTGACGAAATGCGGGTTTATGAATATGACATCGAAACTGTCCAACAATCTAGCGAATAGTGCTCAAAAAATGAGAATTCGCAAACAAGAATTCGAAAAAAAAATCAAAATTGGCTGAAGGCACGGAAGGTTTGTGTAATCATTATTAATAAAGATTTGTATTAGAATAAGGGAAAATGTAGTTTGAAATTGGATCAGATGGTACATATATGCATTCTACAACTTTCGTTGTTGATTTACGTGAGTACCTGCCGGCGACGGCCTTACCTCACGGTGTTCCAAAACACAGCGTATCAATAAAATGCGTTGATAAGCGCCCCAAACAATACGAGCTATTTGCAAGTATTTATTTGGATACCAGTGGCAGTGTGTCTGGGTCCACACTACCATCTTGGTATGATTCGAGGCAGACATATGCATTCTACATGTGTTTTTTTTTTGTCAATTGATAAAGGATAGAATCTGACGGATTTAAAAATTAAAAAAAAAGTACACATTTTAATATAGCGAGCTGTTTATTCACTTACCCAGTAAATCAACATGCAGGCGGCAGTCATATGAGAATTCACCCATTATTTCATTAAACTTATCATCATCGCATTGAGGTACTTTATTATTTTTTAAATCTGTCTCTAGCGACTTTAGAGCCGAAATCATTTGACGCATAGATCTCTGAATCGAGTCTAAATTTACTCGAGAAGCTTTATCAATATGTGCTAAATCGTTATAGAAATCCATTATATCGGTAAACTCATTTTCTATTACTTTTACTAAATAATGTAAAAGAGTATGTCGGTTATCAATATCTTTAGTATTACAAAGTTTTGCGAGATAAGACATATCAAATCCATAGGCTGCTTCACTTTTTGATCCTGAGTTCAAATAGTTTCCCATTAATAAAATTAGTTCTAAAACTTTTGCAAATTTTTTACTGTTGCGAACTTCTTCACATGCTGCTGTTCCAGCTACAATATCAGGCTTAATATCTTGAATGACATCAGAGTACGTTAATTTAAAATTAAGGTGGTGAAGACGCGGCAGTAATCTTTTTATTTCGCTAATAGTGGCAGCAAATTGTTCTACTGGTGACAGCGGTTCTCCTTTTTCTTTTATGTCTTGAAGTTGTTTCAATTGATCTGATGACGGCAAATACTGAATTAAATTCTGTAGTATGTTTGAAGACAATATATCGGTATCACAGCGCAAAAGACAAATTTTAATTTGCTCGTTTGATAAGTGTTTTAATGGCCCACCAAGCAATATGGCTAAGTTTTGGGCTGATTTAGAATCAAGTACCCGTAAGCTTATATTCTTCTTTACTAGGGTGTTTGCTTTATCAACCGCATCATTTTGATACCTTTTTACTGGTTTTGATGAAAATCTTTCAGAGAGTACAGAAAGAAATTGCTTCGATGCTAAACGATCTTCTTCGCAAGTAAACCAAAAAGATTTATCCGACATTATTTGAGGAGATACAACTTTCCAATTTATGCGTTTCATTGGGTTTTCTACTTCCCATTTCTTCTTCGGTTTTAAGCCATTTGGAAGTTCATAAACCAGAAAAGAGGGATGTTGGCCCTGTTTAGCTCCGGGTACAGATAATAATCCGAAATTTGGTGGTGGTGGAGGTGGAGGCCCAATATTTGGAGGAGGTGGTGGAGCTGGGCAATTCGGCATTGGAGGAGGTGGTGGACCTTTTGTGAACGATGGTGGAAGAGGTGGTGGTGGCGGTGGTGTGGGTATTATTGTCGAAGTTCTCGGTTTATTACAATCAGTTTGTAAAGTTTTTAGCTGTTTACAAAGGTAAATAATATTTATAGATACGATTAAAATTACATAAGTAAATTAAATAATATATGTATTAATTTAAGCTAACGTCAATTATAAATTCACATAAAAGAAATGTCTTCATCTATTTTGCAAAGAACAGAATAAATATATCAACAGCAAAACTACGAGGAAATATAATGATTTATTATTTTGGAAGGGATATCAGTATACTTGTAGGTATAAAACACTCATTAATTTAAATTAGACTTTAGCAAAAATAATTGTGGTAAGAAAATAGGGAGGTCTAAGGTGAGAAAATACTTTCAGGTGTTGGAAAACTCTATATTTAAAAATGTTGCGTGAGAATTAAGTAAGCATTGTTTAAAGAAACCGAATGTATTACAATAAATTTTGATGTCCTATTAACTTATGTATACAAGGTGCGTTACAAAGTAAATAGTAAAAAAGTAAACTCTAGTGGCGCCATCTATATGTCGACTAGTGCGTTAGAATCTGCTATCCTTTATTGACTTTCAGTAAATTTCATGACATTTCATCTATTGAAAGTGAAGTTATTGCGTTTTAAGTGTCAGTATGTTTTTGTCATCGGTGCAAAAATGAGCTTCGAACGAAGAGCCAACATTAAATTTTGTTTTAAAATTGGTAAAACTTTTACCGAAACGTTTCAATTGATGAAACAAGTTTATGGCGCTGATTGCCTATCCCGTAGCCGTATTCACGAGTGGTTTCAACGTTTTCAAAGTGGTCGTGAGGACATAAATGAGAAATGAGCCGAAACCCAAAACATCGCGCCTGGAGAAGTCAAAAGTGAAGACAATGCTGATTTGTTTTATGATTCCAAGGGTATTGTCCCCAAAGAATTTGTTCTACCCGGCCAAAACGTTAATGTGGTATTCTACCTTGGAGTTTTGAAGCGTTTGGTGCCCCGAATTTGACGTGTTCGGCCCGCATATCGCGAAGATGGAAGTTGGCGTTTGTTGCACGATAATGCGCCGTCTCATCGATCGACGCTTGTGACCGATTATTTGATCAAAAATCACACTTTAACAATCAACCACTCCCCGTATTCACCTGATATGGCACCGTGCGACTTTTACCTTTCGGAAAAATGCATTTGCTGATGAAAAGAAAGCGTTATGCAGACGTGGAGGCCATTCAAAAGGCTTGGGCATACTTGCGGCCATACCGGGCAACGAGCTAAAACACTCGTTCGACATGCTTTTGGACCGTGCAAAAAGCTGTATTAAAGCAGGAGACTATTTTGAATAAAATTAATTGATTTTGCCGATAAAACCATTTGTTCTGTCTTTTTTTTTAAGTCCTGTTTACTTTGGAACGCACCTTGTATATATTATGAGTCGTAGACAAACTTAGGTTCATTACTACATTTTGCTTTGTACCCGAAGTATTTATTTTAAAATCAACCTAAATAAAGATTCAATATAATATATATATGTGCCTTAAGCCCAACCAAAGGAGCTTAATTTAATATTATATATTGGGTACATGAGGAAGTCAACGCAATGTTCGGAAGTCATTATATTAAGGATATGAGTTTTAGTCCAAGGTATAGGCAATACTAAACCACATTGTTTGTAAGAAATTTAGTTAATTTCATAAAAATATCACACACACATTTTCGGAATTAAGCGGTAGTATATGTAATATTATATGTACGCTCTAGTAATTTTGTTAACATATCTGACTTATTGCCTGACATATACGCTATAAATTCAACCGGAATTCTGAAATACGTATACCAGGTATAAGCGGGCCAGGTTATTATTGACTCGATTTTATCTATTTTAGCCAGAATAATACGGTTATTAGAGAGGACGCTCTCTTAATTTATTTGAGATATCTAACGTATTGACCGGTATATACCGTATAAAGTCACCCGGAAGTTCTAAAATCTTTTGCCATGCCCATGGTTTGATTTTAACATCGATTCGTTCGAAGCCATTTTAGCTGTAAAATATGTTGCTTCTGACGTATTTACGAGTTATCGCACTTCAAGCAGTTTACAGCATAACCGTCATATGGGAGGTGGGCATGGTTTCTTCTGAGATATGAATATTAAACCTAAAAAGAGGCAGGACTGCTCACTTTTTGAAAATTTTAAGCTCACATCTGGCCTTTACTACTGAAATTCCTTGTACCAAATTACAGTTTTGTGTCTTAATATGGATAGTTATAGCACGTTATAGGTTTTCGATTAACGACATTTTGTGGCTGTTACAATGGTTCGATTCCGCCTATATGCAATACCATATCCCATGGGTGCCAAAGAACACCAAGTACCAAGTTTTCTCACGATATTTCAACTTTTACTCAAGTTATCTCTTGTACGGACGAACGGATAGTTAACCTTAATTTAACTTTATATTATTTAACTTATTTATTATAGTCTGTAGCAACGTGTTGCGAGTGTATAAAAAAGTAAGGAAGGTTTAAGTGCATTCCCAACCGAAAATAAGTTGCAGCTATACTAGTCGTCTAAAAGAATCGATCATATTGAAAATTCCAATGTGAACTTTGTAAAAATAGAAGGTTGAAATTTATTTAACGGATTCTAAGCATATTCAATACATTGGGTTGCGTACTCACCAATGTCTTAACCAATTATCGGGAAATCAAGGATAAGGAATGTCAGAACACTTTTGCCTAGCATACTGTCCCGTTAATGTGAGGTTCTAAATCAAGTTTAGGGGCAAGATCAAAAAAATTTAATAATGCTCTACAATATAGTAAACTGTTATGTATGAATAGACCTTTGCGACAAGCCTAACCCGAAAAATATTTGCAAATTTAGAAGCTTTATAATTAGTTTACATCAATGAAAAGTACATTATATACTTAAATGCATAACATTTGTAACACTAATTTAATTAAAGTTAAGTTTTTAAAAGAGTTATATGTTACCAAAAATTTGTAACTAAAACCAATAAGGTAGCTTCCGTGTTTCATCAAAGCATCAAATTACAAGAAACATGCGCACTTGATTTCATAGAGATAAAATCGACATGTCAAATGTCAGGGGAACTATTTGTGTTAATATCGGCATTGGTATTTTATTGTTTCGATATCGTAGTTTTCGCCTAATTTAATTATTGTGAAATAAAACAGTCCGAGGAAAATAGTCGTGGCTGTAGTTCGAGTCAACTACCCGAGGTTATTGTTTGATTTCAAGCACTTTTTAAACGGAATCTCAAAAGCTAATTAATTTCACCAAGCTTAGTTGATATAGTTTTGGTAGTTTGCGAGATAAGTAAGATAAGGCGGTTACGCCCGCTCATCCAAAACTTTTTAAAGTATACATGAAAATTTTACTGATCAAATTACTGTTTTGCAGCTTAAATGGGAATTGAGTTATACAGCTTTATATTTTGTGAGTGTGACATTGGGCAATTAAATACTAAATAGGATAGCGTATGTTACATACTATGTATGTTAGCCTACGAGTGCCCAGATTGCATTATAAGCAAATCAGAATGAAAGAAGTAGGATTACTATCTGTGACACATGTCTGCTGACAGTTTCTTTTAAATGTTCGTTTGCAATGAACAAATGCATATATAGGTATGTTTTGAAAATCATTATTTTGTCTTATCTAAATAGTATCAATATCCAAGGTAAAACAGAATAAATTACATGCAGGCTTTTTTAAAGCAACTCTGACATGCATTAACTCAAGGGTCGAAGAACCAAAACTGTCATAGTACGCCCTAAAGAATCGACGACATTAAAAGTGGGAAGCAAGTAGATACTAGTTATAAATAAATTTAATTGAATTAGTAATATATATATTACAAAGGTTTCTATGTTGATGTTTTAATGAGTACCAGTTTAGGTAGTCATAAATGATGCCGACTTACCTGTACTACAGTGTCATTGGATTTTGTAGTCTTTTTAGTCGTTCTAAATTTTATCTGTTCTTCTAAATGTGCCACTTTAGCTTCAGCTTCTTGTTTCGCTATTTCCAAGTCTTCTATTTTTTTTTCAAATTCCTCGAATCGTCGTATTTCTTTAGCCTTTACTTTTTCAACGATATCATCTAATATTAATGATGTATCAATATTAAAAGTACGGTTATCAAAATTTGGGTCGCAATAGCCTTTATGTAATACTATTTGTTGTATACATTCTTCAATCAATTGATAATATGCTGGTCGAAAATAGAAATCATCCCTTATGTAAAGTAAATGTTGAAGTATTGATAAAAAGTATGGTTCCGAACTGGTATCTGTTACAAGATTTTTAAGTACTTCAAAACAGTCTGCCATATCGTCCATGTTAAAACTTACATTTTCAAACCTTTGGGTGAATTCTTCAAAATCATCTTCTCTTATTTCATTAAAAATTTTAAAATGTTGCTTCAAAGCATCATTATTACTTTTAGAAACAATGCCCTTAAACAAATCAAATCTATCATAAAGTCCCATTCTCATTATTTCACATCGTAAATGTAAACGAAAGTTTAAATCACTGGGCGTGTTCGTTAACGTATTAATGAAAATAAGACTATGGCAAGCTAAATCTCTTTTTGGGTCACATTTTCCTTCCATAAATAATGCATCAACTATAGGTCTGAACCGTTCACTTGTTTTATATTTGTTGGACGCGGCAGTAGTTATTGCTCGAAGAACCTTATCATATCCGTTACGTTCAGGAACAAGACAAAATGATGCCAGTAATTTTACAGCTTCACACATTGTTTGTGGTTTAAGGGGATTCAAATAATGTGCTAATAATAATACTACTGTGTGAAGCTCAGGTGTTAATACTAAATTCAAACCCCATGTATTATTCATTACAGCTTTCAGGCAACGAATGCACTCCAATTCAATTCGGTCAAATCCACGTTCTTTTAAACAACGTCTCAATAACAAAATTATTTCATTTATGCCATCTTCTCCAAACTCTTTAATCCATGAAATAGGATTGCTTGTGAGAGCTACCCGCAAGCTTTCAAGACACTGATATATTTTGTTTTCGTTGTGTTCTTTATTACGCAGATATTCAATGTAATCAAATGGTTTTTCAAACCGAGAGCTAGAACGGTGTTCGTTAGAATTTTTACCTGTAAAAAAGTTAATAAGAAATCAGAGTTGTGTTATATACATATATATTGTAAGAATTGATTTGTGTAAATACATAAGAATATTTAATGGCCTCTGTAACTGCAACTGCGAATACTAAATTTTCAAATGGAACTTCAGCAATAAACTAACTACCATAGAGACAATAGACAAATAGTTGATACTTTCTGTACACTCACTTCCAACCTAAAGCTCTAAAGGAACTATAAATTCATAGAACAGGCTGTTTTTGGAAATTAATTTTATTTCACAAACTTGTATTTTGCATAATTTAGAATTCACCTGTTTTTGTTAAACTATATATTTATTACTTTTTATGTCACTAATTTTAATTTTTTGTTCACTTGATGTCTTCCTGGGCGACCAACTATGTTGTCACGAACGGTTATCAATCGTCCTGGCCGCGCGGATTTCGTAAAAAAAAAGGACCGTTTTCCGATCAGGTGATCCTTTTAAGATCTGCTGGGTGGTGAATGTGCGTGGGTGTTGGATGATGTGTTATGGATGCAGTTCGTGGGTCGTACAGTGTGTACTTAGTGGTGCGATACGTGGTAGGTGTTATAATGAATTTGAATGGCGGGATTACCCATCATAGGTCATGTGAACACTTTCAATTACACAATAAAAAATATATTCGGATCTAACGAATTGGTAGAACAAAAGTTTGAGTTCAAAACGAAAAAACATTTTCTTACAATCGACAAATTGGAAGGTTTTTGGTCGGATTACTTGTCTTCGAGTTACAATTGTAGCTAATTTGAAAAATGTATTTTTAAGAAAAACGCATTTAAAATAAACTGATTGAGATAAGCGACTTCACTTCAGAAGGCTATAACTAAAAAAATAAACACTTGAAATATTAATTTAAAATGTTATAATAAAACAAGTAAGGAAGGGCTAAGTTCGGATGTAACCGAACATTTTATACTCTCGCAAAGTCAAATGGTATACTCGTTTGAGATTTCTTTGTGGATTGACTGATATTTTCGGTAGAAGGTCAACTATAGGCACTGGGGTCCACATATTTAGTACTTAGGGGTTTGAACAGTTTTGGTTCGATTTAGACAATTTTTCAATTTAGACAAGTTTTACCCCGATATAATCATTGTTACCTGAGCGTGGCAGTGGTCCTCCCATCTGCAATACCAACCGTCTCACGGTACCAAGAAACATGTCTACCAAGTTTCATAAAGATATCTCAATTTTTACTCAAGTTAGAGCTTGCACGGACGGACGGACGGACGGACAGACAGTCACCCGGATTTCAACTCGTCTCTTCATCCTGATCATTTATATATATATAACCCTATATCTAACTCGATTAGTTTTAGGTGATACAAACAACCGTTAGGTGAACAAAACTATTATACTCTGTAGCAACAGGTTGCGAGAGTATAATAAAAAAAAAACGAAGATATCTTTAAAAAAATAAAAGAGACTAGGGATCAGATATACATATGGATTTTATTTCGAAATCTGCCCATGATTTTTGTTACACTAGGTGTGCTCTTTAACGTAATAAAGTAGACAATTATATCGCGGGTTTGTAGCACTATAAATTAAAAAAAGGAAGTTTAAAAAAAAATATATAAGAGACTAGGGATCAGTTATAAACATATGGACTTTATTCCGAAATCTGCCCATTTTGACTTTCCACTTAATTCTGAATATAGATTCCCCAAAGTTTTTCCACAGGAGCTACGACACATATTTTTCAAATGTGAAACTAGTTTAGTAGGCGTTTATTCAGAGAAGAGATTACGTAAAATTACTATTTTTAAAAAAACTTGGTTGGTTCGCCAGAGGGGAATAGAAACCGTATGTCAAAAATTGATCTCATAGACACACACCCGCCCTAGCGATGGAGTTTTATACCGGTATTTCTAATTTTTTATTAACATCAATTTTCCCAGTAAATCACAATCATATAATTAGCATAACAAGATATAATTAAGTGATTTCTTCACGAAGACATGGCTGAAAATCACAAAATATAATTTTCAACACGAGTGATCAGCGATATATGAAAACGAATCCAAGGTTATCCAACATTCACGCTGTGCAGAAACTTGGCCACGGGTGCTTCGGGCCCAAAAGTTTAATGGTCGAGTGGCTGTTAAGAAACCCTTCATAAACATATAATACTATCATAATTTGCAAGGATCAAAGCCAGGGATGTTGATCCAACTATATATCAAAAACTTTTGTGTATGAATTTATTCCCTATTCGACTAACTTGTTAATGGGCTAAAATTATATTTTGTACCATATTAACTTATAATGTAGGTCGTGGACTAACTAATAGCCTGATATATTAAAATCAACCTAACGAACACCAAAAACTATTTTAGGTTTAGTACATATCCATATCATTACCGGATGATATAATGCTAATTGAAAAAGCTTAATTTTATTGAGATATCTTGCACTGATACCGATGCATTCGAAAGTAGTAAGCGAAATTTAATATATTGGGTGCATGAAGGAAGAGTTACCGGTAACCGGGACAAACGTCGAAGGGTCAGAAATGGTAATAATAGAGATGTTGAGACTAAACCTTGATTTCAATAGGAGGTAAGGCTAAACAACGGTGTGGTCAAGAAAACATAACCACTTAATTTTTTTTTAATATCGAATATATTACCAAAAGAAACGGTATAAAGTCAAGCGGAGTGGAAAATAACTGTACTAGTACATAGATTAAAAATATAATTCACAAATTGATGTATATATTTAACAGATTTAAACATAACCTTTATATGGAAGGTGGGTGTAGTTATTTCACCTACTTTCATATTGAATGAGGAAGAGCTAGTGGAAAATGTTTTCAGCAAGTTTGATTAACATAGTTTTAGCAGTTTGTGAACAATATACATTCAAGCTATTAAAAAGTGAGGTCACGTCCATTTTTCTAAAATTTATATACTACAGATGCTCCACCTTACAGTGAACCTCTGTACATAATGTAATTATCGTTTTTACAGGGCGTAACAATGGTCCAATTAGCCATCTGCAATACCAAGGAACATGTGCACCTAGTTTAATAAAGATATGTAAATTTTTACTCAAGGTGTCCTTAAATGGACAGTTAAAATTGCACATATGTATTTGGTTTGGACGATATGTCCTATACTAGACACCAAATACTGAGCCTTAAAAAGCAACCATGCGGGCGGTATTATGAAGGTTTGGACTTGCATGTTTACAGCCGGTGTGAAATCATAATGTCAATCATTATTTGTACTATACTTGTATGAAAGTTGGGATAATTCGTGGACCGATATCGCACCTCAACTACTTTCACTAAATTTTGCTAAGTTATCTCACACATTGACTAATATATTCAAGCCAACCGGAAGTTTGAAATATATATAATTCTTATATAAGGTATATGGAGGATTGGGAATATTTTGACCCGATTTTATCCAGTTTAGTATTACCAGAAATAGGATCTCTCTCTAATTTGTATTCACACTGATCAATATATAAGGTATAAAGGCAAGCGGATGTTTGAAAATCCGTATATTAGGTATATTGAGACTAGGGAAGTACTGACCTGATTACATCCATTTTTGCCAAGAGGATTCACTGTTATTAGAAAGAGATTCTTTCTGAATTTCAATATGATTTCTAACATATTGAGAAATATATGGGGACTTGGGAATGTATTGATCCGATTTTACCCATTTTTGTGTCTGGAAAAATTATAGTTCGACTTCGAAAATTTTTGGGCGTAAGATGAAATACTTTGAGGGCACTATTAGTTTTATTCTGATAACTTTTTTAAGGTTTGATTTGTACAATGTAAAGTTTAAGAACCAGATGGAATTTAAAAGTTTGTTATATGGAAGTAGACGTGGTTGTCATCCGATTTCACCTATTTTCCCCGAGTGTATGATAGGAATATTTGGGTAACCTGACACATATAATTTCACCTATAGGGTGGCGGTGACACGCCCCTTATTCAATATTTATATCTACTCCATAAAGCCCTTGTGGCGCATTTATTAAGGAATTAACGCACTTTTAGTAGGTTAAGGGTAGTGGGCGTGGTTAATATCTGATTTTACCCATTTTTACAGTTTACGAAGAGGTGCTAAAAAGACTTTGGAAGATATCTACATTTAACCCTTTAGAAGGCGGGACCACGTCCACTTTAAAAAATGTTTAGCTCACAAAAGTACCTTGCTTTTGCGGTCCCGTGTACCAAATTACAGTTTTTATACTCTCGCAACATGTTGCTACAAAGTATAATAAGTTTTTTCACCTAACGGTTGTTTGTATGACCTAAAACTAATCGAGATAGATATAGGGTTATGTAAATATAAAAGATCAGAATGAAGAGACGAGTTGAAATCCGAGTGACTGTCTGTCCGTCCGTCGGTACACATGACCTAATTTTCATCATGATATCTCAATTTTTACTCGAGTTATCGGTTGCACAAACAGACGTATAGACACTCATCCGGATTTCCATAACTACGTATCTATTTCGATAAGTTTTAAAGAAAAGAAATGTGAAGTAGAAAAAAAATATATTAATTACAATCAAACAAAATACATCAAAAACTTTAAAATTAAATTGTTGGTAAAACTAGTTTGCATACACGAATATTCTCTAAAACTTAACATTATTTAGTAAAGCACATTTACATTTATTATTATTATATTTATTTATATGTATGTATTTTTTGTTGAATGAATGAGATATGATGAATGATAGATGATATAGAAACTGAATTAAAACTGAATAAAACGCTATTGTAGTCAATTCAATATGTAACTTTGTACATACATTTCTTTGCACCAAGGAAAATTGGTATTGCAGATGGGTGGGATCGGAGAATTGCCCCACTCACGAAATTCCATTTCAAACCTTACTTATAAGGTACCATAACTAAATTCCCCAATAAGATATAAATTTCTTTTTACTAAGTACAACGAATAACATTAGATAGGAGCATATGTGGTTTTAAAATTA